TATATATATTATTATATACATGTGTATATATATATCGATAACTTATTGAAGGTATATATATATACATATATCTGAAAGAAAGGAAGGGAGAATGAGAAAGAGAGAGAGAGAGTGTGAGGGAGAGAGAGAACTGAAAGAGAAAGTGAGGTTGCGTGTGTGTGTGAGTGATAGAGCGAGAATGAGAAGAATAGTGAGAAATGGGACGAAAAAGAAGAAGAAAAAGAAACTGAAGAGGAATCCACGTAAAACAAGGATGATCGAAGATCGGGGTTTATTATCTGCGAAGAATTGACCGGAAACGAAGCTGACGGAATGTGGGGAAATGAAAATTTGAGCCTCCACGGTTGGTGCTTTTAAGAGATTTTGATAAAATGCTGTGAATATTATATTGATTACGATTAACTATAAACTATTGTAATAATGTAACAACGTTGTACGATGTACGATGTGACTATTGTTGATACGATTGAGAATATTTTATACAGTTGACAAGGGGCAGGGTTTTTGTGGGGGCGAAGGGGAGGGGGAAGGGTTCGCGCGTCGATGATTATAGAATTACAGAGGACGAACAGAGAGGATTACGGCGACATACGGGGCGGGGTGGGGGAAAAAAAGGGAGCAGTTTTCGAAATGAAGAACGTTGGAGGGGCAGGGGGGAGGGGATTACACGAGGAAGGTAGAAAGATACCTAAGTACGACCACTTGGAAAAATTCGATTCAGTGCGTTCGTGGACGTTGTTCAAAGACGTGCTACATGTGGAAAATTAAACGCGGCGCGCGGGGAGGGGTGCAAGGGGGCCGCTAATTAAGTTGCTACAAGTGCGCCGGCATCGATAGCTACCCCCGAACTGTGCTTTTGCCCTCCCCACCACCCCCCGAAACATGTGTTGTGTCGCGTTCGTCGTTCCTTTCGGCCGGCTTCGTCTTCGTTGCTCTCCCGGCTTGCTCGGATGAGGCTCGACGAGGCAATTCATGGACGTGCATACGTGTTCCCGCGGTACGTAGACTGTCAACGTAACACACATTCATTCCCCAGACAGTTTTCGAACTGACCTCTGTAACCATTGATCGATCATATTTCATCGGAGCCCTGTGGATAAATTATTTAACGTTTTCATTCGCTTATTATCAATTGTTTCGTGTCCGTAGATATGGAGATTCAGAGATATTAGGTTGTGAGATACAGTTACTCTTTAGGGAAGTGAAAGTATTTCTACCTATTAATGGGACGGTATTTATCAATCGAAATGCTGTGTTTGTGGATCTTTAGGTATTTTACGTGTGATTACTGGCAAGGATAAATGGTTTATTTAACTTTTGCATTGGAGAATGATGTTTTTCTGAGGAAATAGTTCATGTGACATGATGAAAACAATAGATGTCACTGTGTTCTGTGGTTCAATTCATTTGACTTATTTAGTGTCTAATATGGAAAATATCGTGGAGCTTGAATTTCTCTATTATTCAGTGCTGATTTTAACAAAAGTACACGAGTAAATAAATCATCCAGCAATCAGCATTAGTTCCTTAAGGTGTGATGTAGATTTGATAATAATTAAAAGATTCGATAAGATAAACGGTGAATAATTATGTTACTCTTTTAGGACTGAGCTCACATATATGTATTTAGTACACAATTTCATAAAGTAAATTACGAATCAATTAGAACTATTACAAAATGAGTCTCAAAATTCATTAAAGAATTTCATCCATTATCTACCACTGTGTAGTTCGGAGCTCAGGAACTCGTATCAAACAAGCAATATGAGCATTCACCAAATACAATTTCGAGTCGTAGATTGACACAAATATTTCTTAAGAAAAAAATATATTCTTTAAGTGCACTGAAGAGTAACCCTCTACTCCTGTATAATTTAAAATATCTCTTCGGAGTCATCAGAAAATATGATCGAAACTGCATACAATTTCCTCAGAAATGCACATAACATTAATAAACAGTAGTGAACGATTAATCGGTACACCTAATAATATTGCTATTTTCTTTTACTGTAAAATACAATTACAGTGGGTAAAAAAAAGTATTCGTACACCCTTTAAAACAGAACAACTCTTTCATAATTGGACCAAGTGACTTGAGTTTTTTTGTGAAGTTAGAAGGATCGGTTTACTAAATGATGTGTTAAAATAATTCTTAAAAATTTGCGACTTTTCCGAATGTCGAAAAAAATAGTAAATGTCGTTTTTTACAACTTTTTTGTCAGAGACTAATGAAAATTTAATAAATATATTTCGAAAATTTATGTCAGTTATATACATGCTGCAACTTTCATTGAAATCGGTTGATACAGAAACGAGTAACAGACATCGAAAGATGTAAGAATCTTTAGATATACTACAGTTGTAGGTCAAAAGTCGCGAAAAACTGCGGATTTTCAACATTTTCAACCGTTCGTATCTCATAACAACGTTAATCGATTTCGATAAAATTTTCAGCATGCATATAACTAAGAAAAATCTAAGCAATGTATTCGTCAAATTTTCATTGCAATCTCAGATAAAAAAGGCGCAAAAAGCGACCTTTACTATTTTCTTGGCGATTCCGACTGCAACTTTTTCACCATTTTGTTACCACATCATTTAGTACACTAATCCTTCTAAGTTCACAAAGAAACTCAAGTCCCTTGGTCCAGTTTTGAAAGACTTCTTCTGTTTTAAAGCGTGTACGAATACTTTCCTTACCCACTGTAAGTGAAATATCCAGAAACATTCACCAAAGATTCCGAATGTTCCTGCACAGCATTTCAGGCTTCTCGCCGCGTAACGCGCGAATGCATTGTCTCATTAAAAAGGCGAGAATACTTTTATATTCCGCCCAAAGAGGAACTATTTCGTGTAATCGCCTTTACGCTAACGAGAGACCATTGAGTATCATTCCCAAACGAGAGACATCTTTGAACCTTTAGTTCGCTTCGTGCTCGGGATACTCCACGCAGCTTTTACCCAATTCCCATCACGCGGTCGCCGGCGGACACGGTATCGATAGCGCGTGTCGAGCACGCTAAATCGCGCGTCATAGACAGCGGCTGTCGGCGGATGCGTTTAACGATGCCCGACGGTGTAGGCCACTCGCACAAGTGCAATAACTAAACCGAGACGCGATTCTCTCTCTTCTAGCCGAATTTTTATTTATCTTCCAGCATTAAGATCGGGGGAGCCAGGGTCCACGAACCGTCTTACTGCCCTTAAATTATCCTATGTACTCTTTATTTATTTATTTCGACGATGTAACTAGCGCTTCTAATAATCGAGGAAAGGCTGCCAGTAACAATAGCAAGTCTTATCTATGCTCGAATTTTGTAAATCACCTGGTTTTTTTCCGGGAAACAAAAAGGTAATAGTAAGTTCTTTTTGTTTGTATGGTGGGTCGAACTTAATGCTACGTGTCCACTTGAGAATCTGTTTTGAAGATAGAACCATTTGACGGACGTGAACCTGAACGCGAATTTTCAGTAGCTGTCATTTTCACTGTGTAGAGTGAAACTTGAATCTACTTAAGTGGGATCTACCCTCGATAATTACTCTCGTGTGGATACGTAGCTGAAACCATTCGGCCGACGCGTAAGGAATTCGATTCAAGGTGGCTCGGACACGTGGTACGGGTACATTATGCCTCTTTGTTGTTAATATTTACAATGAATTTGTTGAACTTTGCACGTTCTGCGTGCACCAACATTAGTTCCAGATAACTATTCATATTGTTAACGTAATATCTACCATACGGTTTCGTTTTATTATTTAATCGATAACTGAAACTATTTTTCTTTTGTTTTCTGTGAGCTCGTATTTATGATGCAGTACTTCCTCGATGAATGCGACACGAACAAAGGCATTATTCCCACCACTAGGGGGCCTCCTTCTGGAACCAATTAAAACAGAGTAATCAGAAGCTAAACAGAAGCTTGACTACGTGCAGAAAACAAATTTATGAGTGCTACTAATGCCTCGAAACGGACCCGCGTACGTCGCACTCATCGAGACATTACTGTAGCATGAATTAATATTGATTGAGGGCAGAAAATTTTGTTCGCTGGATCTAGATGAGGGTATTAACTGTGCACATTAATTTTCTCTTTGACCCTTTATTTTATAGAATTGTTAGCAGTTTAAGGGATTGATTTCACAGAATTTCATTTCGATACAAAACATCGGCCGAATGGGATTAGAACAAAGCCAGAACCGAGGAGGAAACCAGGTGTGCGTAGACGAAAAGTTCCTTCATCTTCGTAATTTCTTTCGTCGTAGGGTGCATTCATTCGTTCGATTCGACGCGTACCGGCAAACGAAATATCGAGATGCTGCTTTTGTACGATTAACTAAAACCCTTCTAAGTCACGAAACAGGGGACCGAACCGCGTCGATTAATCACGCT